ACTGCATTGGTAAATTATTTTTTTAATATTATTTTCAATACTGTTTTAAACAGTTTTCAATCTTCTTCTAAATTAAATAGATTGCTATAATACATATAATTGTAGGACAACGATTTGCTTTATTGGAAATGAAGTCTTTCATAGCTTCTTTGATATATAATTTTTATTTGGAGCCAATAGAGAATTTAAAGGACGTTCAGTTTAATGTTGATGTGATGCTTCGTCCCGCTTATCCACTGCGTTTAAAATTTGTTCCAATCGTTAAAAAACATGCAGATTTTAAGGCATAACTATTATAGAACTAGAACATAGAAGAACATAAAAGTGCTAATATTAAAAAGTTTAAAATATTATTGTACTAAGTGTTTCGTTTGTTTGATACAACTAGGAAGAGGATAATTTTATATAAAAAAATAAATCAAAAATATAAAATATAACTTTTTCATACTGAGAGATTTTTTTTATACAAGGGAGATTTTATTTTGCAAAATTCTTCATGGGCAGATGCGTGAGCATATTTAAATCTCAATTATACGAAACCTCGTTATAGATTTTTTTGTTCATAATTTATATTCACAAATATTCTTCATGTTATAAATTATTTTATATGTATTTCGTACATATTTTAGATATGTGAATTTATGGTTTATGTTTAGTAACTATAAAAAAAAATATATATATGTATAAATAAAAATATATATTAGATGTATTAGTTACATGAATTGTAATTAAAGATACATGGATGTTTTGTATACTAAATTGTATACTAAATTTAAATTTTTAAAATTAAAAGGTTTGATTATATTAAATAAAGTCATGTATAAAATCATGTATAAAAATAATATATATGTTATAATCAAGCCCCGAATATATCTTTGTTAAGCTCTCATTCCAGCCCCACAAAAAACCGAAAAAATATATATGTCCAAATTAAGTGCTATTTATGTGCTAATTATGTGCTCTAGTCCTGATTTTTGTGCTCGCGCAGTTTAGCAGGAAATGGGAAAAGGATGTGCTGGCTTAACGAAAGTTAAAAAGTTATTAACAAACAAAGTCTTGGGAAGCGGCAGTTCTACATAAAAAAATTCGTTTTCAGGATGAATTCCAAAGATACGCAATTTAAATAGACCCGATCGATAGATATTCGTTTGCATATTGCCAAACAAGTCGATTTTTCGTTTGCACACCTCTAGTTAAAAAGTTATTAACAATTAAAGTTTCAGAAATAAATGAGTTTGATAGATGAGATGAAAACAAAAATATTGTGCTTAAAATGATATCAATCGAAAAGTTGTGGCGTTTTCATTTATACTCGGTTCTTGTTTATTTCTCATAAATCTATTGCATATTCTCGCTCATCTTTAATATCTGTATCTGAACGTTATATCTTGTAATAACTGAAAAAATTCGAACTCGCTCGTTTCTGAAACTTTAATTGTTAATAACTTTTTAACTAGAGATGTGCAAACGAAAAATCGATCTGTTTGGCAATGTGCAAATGAATATCTATCAATTGAGCTATTTTTTATTTAATTTACTCATAGTTGGGGGACTGTGAAGATGGCCCTCCGAAATTTGTTTTGTTAATAACTTTTTTACTGAAAGTGTGCAAACGAAAATTCGAAATGTGCATACATGTGCAAACGATGAACAATCGAATGAGCTATAGAAACTTTATGTTTTTCAATGTTGGGGGGCTATTTTCATACAGGTATATCGATAAAGCCTTCGCACTATATTTTGTCTAATATTTTTCTTTCTGTGACAAAGAAAACATTATTACAGATAATCGAAATGACAATCATCATGGAATTATTAAAATTATTCTTAGTAAGTATTAATCTAACATTCCTCACTCAAAACGATGTCGTTGATCAATAATTTAAAAAATAGTTTATATGCATACGAATAATTAATAAAACCATTTGACAATTATATTCACTTTATATCATTCATCGAAGATATTTCAACTGTAATAAAATTCAAATTGTATGATATACATATTTAAACCATATATAAACGAACAACGAGTAAAAGGCAATTTCCTCTTTCATTCCCTCTTTGGTAATCTTACGTCATATTTTCAAGTTTCTAATAAAATGAACTTAATATGTTTGAACGTATTAAATCTGAAAGTAGACGAAACAGGAACCAAAGTTCTTACTTCGATAGATTCTAAAATGATAAAACCAATAATGTATATATATATATGATAATAAAACGCAAACAATTGTCACCTTTGATCACGATTTTTTTGCCGTATAATACCTACCATCTGATAATAAATTTTATTGGAATTATGATGAACGCAAACAATTATCGAAAATTTAATTCAGTTGATACAGTGAGTAGAGCACTTTACAAATGTAATAAATTTAAATGTTAGAGATTTAAATATTATTACAAGATATCACTTTTACTTCCTTTTCATTCGCTTATACATTTGATCTTAATTCAGTTAATGATTTAAATATAATAAACATATTAAAATATAATAACTGTAAAACGTATAAATTACAATACTTTATATTATAAAAGTATGTTTTGTATAGAAAATATATGTTTAATGTAGCAACATAATATAATGGGAGATATAAAAGAGGGAAATATTATTTTTGAATTTTTATAAATGGCACTTCAATATTCTCTAACATTTACATGTTATATATTAGTGATAATTAAAATTTTAAAATTTATTATTAAAATGTCACAGGTAATGGATCGCAGCACCCGATTTGTATGGAACAAGTGCTCGTTCTGCATTTCCATACTGGGACATGCCGGACATTAAAACTAATTTTTCTGTTTCCATACAGCATTGTTCAGATTATAAAATTGTAACAAATATGAGGATTTCCATAAAAACTGGAGATGAATACAGAATTTTTATAAAGTACAATACAGCTGTTAACATCTCTCCTTATTTCGTAGTGATTGTATTGCACAAATTCGGCCGTCTTGATACCGACTTGGCTCTGATATTGATTTTAACGATGATGACAAGTCTGTCGAGGTGCACATCCAAATTTGGAGTAGAGACGCGATCTCGCATTTAAAATTCGTTCAAAGGATGATTAAAACTTCCATAAAATACTTACAAAAGAATATATCTAAAAAGCTATTTTCACGAAATATGAAGATTATCATAGTACCGAATTTTCAAGATGAAAATGTGGAAGCACGGGGACTCATTCTGTATAGGTATTATGTATAAACAAAAAACTTAAGACAATAAAAACACAATAAAAATATAATTAATTTGTTAATACCTAAAGAAATTTTAACTTAAAATTATATAGCTTAAAATAACGATAGCTCGAAATAGTGAGAGTTCAGAATTTAGATGATAAAGATTAAATTTCATAGTTGTAATATATAAAGACATTCATAATTAAATTATATTTCAGTGAGGCAGCTGTTCTTTACGATGAAGATTTTCATTTTGAAGCACATAAAAACTGACTGTGGCATTCATAGTAGCACGAAAATTAATATATCAATTCTTTGGCAATATAATGGATAACCTTGGGGATCGTATTTATGGATAAACAAGGATATTACGACTTTTTTAGGAATGTAGATTGTTGACGAGGTTGCTTTTGTTATAAACTTTTGATTACAGATTGTTAAATCGTCTTATTATTGGAATTAGAATTTTAATATTATAAATATATAAAAAGTCTTTAATAATTAAATATTATTTTTCTGACTTGGAATTAGCGAATATTGAAAAATAAAATTTTCCAAATTTTTACATTCCAGTTTTTTCTTTTGTAAAATATAAAAGAAATTCGCTAATATTTATATTATAAAAATCAGGTTCTTGATTTAAATGATGGCAAAGTCCCGTTCAATTTTGTCATTTTATTTAAGATTATATTATACTTTTTTAAGTATATTATTTTAAGGATTATATGGAAAAGAATTATATCATATTGATAACAATTATTAAGATTATAAGGAAAAGAATTATATCATATCGATAATAATTATTATATAGTATTATATTATATCGATTAAAACTTCTGCTTATAGATACTTGATAAATGAATATTTCGTAGTGCAATTTCGACACGAGTCTCTTCATTTGAATGATTATTACCATATGCTGCAAAAATTTTCTTTTATAATACTTTTATCATTAATTCTGTTGACATAATTAAGGAAAAAATAAAATTCTTATTCTTTAAAGTAAAATAGTGAAGTTATGATTTGCTTTACTTCTTATT